GAAAAAAATTCCAGCTTACTTTTATTTGGAAAAAATCTGATTTATTTCTCCTGTCACGAGTGGGACAAAAAAAAAGAACCTGCTTTTTAGAGCACATATATTTTACGGAAAATCTGCGAATTTATTTCACTTCTCTGTGTGCACTTGATTGAACCACGAACACAAACAAAGCAAAAACTACAAAAACATCATGGCAATCATTCTTCATTATACATCTTCATCCTTTTCATTATACAAAAAATCCGAAATTCCTCTGTCACGGGTGCGACAACGTTTGTCACGGGTAGGACACGTATGCATTTTTATATGAAAAGGAGCTTTTAGTGTGGTCCATATATAAAGATAAGTTATTAAAAAATATAAGAAGCCAAGTAGGGGTTAAATTCACTCACGTTTTATCTTTGGATTTTAACTTTGAATTTTTGACTTTTACCTACTTAAATTTAATGGACTACAAAACTGCATACCAAAAAATTCTTAACAAAAAGTTTTAAATTTTTGGGCGTAATTTTTAAAGTTTGTTGAATTTTTATAATTTTGTAAGAAGTTTGAAATGTAGATTTAGGTGGTTCTGTGCTACACTTTTATAAAAGAAAAAATACGAACATTATATCAACAAAATAAAAAACCAAAACTGGTCAAAATGTATCTTAATTTAATCAGTTGACCACAAGGGTATATAGATAATGGACTAGTCCGCGCAAGCTTTAATTTGTTAGTTTTTGGTTGATTCAAGATTTTTATAATTGTCTTATCCACACGATTGTTAGTTTTATAAAGAAAATAATTTTTGCACCGAGGTTCACTTTCCCCATGGAGCCTCCCATTAGGGTGGTCCTTATATGTAGGAAGCAAATTTTTACATCAGATTTCCTAAGCCTCAACCCCTACGTCGATGCTAGTATAGTCGAAGATATCAAATAGAAATTTTGGACCCGATTGGAGGCGGTTAAGGTGTGTCGCAAAGTTCAGATTACCCTATGAAAACGTCTTAACCGACTCCACTCGGGACCAAAATTTATATGTGGTATCTTCGACTATAAAAGCATCGATTTTCCGTATTAAATTAATTTTTTTACATATGTGATATCTATGGCCGTCGTATTACCAATTGAGGGGATGAGACTGAAAAAATCTTTTAATTGATTTAATGGACCACTCTAATGAATGTATTGCGTTAGTAAACTCAATGTATAATTTTTCGTCTTGTGTTTTTTTTACAAAATAGTTTAATTGTTTTATTACAACAGGGTACTCCGTAAATGGACCTTGCACCAAATTCACAAAATGAGTAAAAATATATCACAAAACACTTTACTTCACACTTCATAAAAATTACTCAAAACTCTATTTGCATGAAAAATCAACGAGGATTCAAGCAGGTATGATGTGTTTAGGTCATATAGCTCGTACTTTGATTGGTCACTTCCCGGTTAATCATGTTAGATGCCTATAATTTAACGTTATTTGACAAGTTGGAGATCAACGAGTTTGTTTTGTGACCGCTGGTGGGTGGAGCGGAAAGATAATTTTCAGCAACTGCTTTAAGTAACTTTAGGGAGCTAGTATTTATTCCAATATTGAAAGATATCAGCACGCATGTCTATTCCTTCATTACAATTACAAATTTCGAAGTTCTCAGCTGACAGTCAGCTGATTTCAACAAAAAAGTTACAATACCAATTTTTTTTTTAAAACAGATTATTCACATTAAATATATACTTTTAAATTATAATACATGTATTTTTTTTTTTTTGAAGAAGCCGAGCATTCAGCGGATTATGAAAATATTGCCGGAATATTGCGGATTATGAAATAAACCGAAGCCGAAGCGGAAGGTTCGGTCGGACTCCAGATGGTAGTAGTTAGTAGCAGTGTTGCATTTACTTAGCAACTGAGCTCGTATATTTCGAATGAAATACATTTTATTGCTAATATTTTCTCGATCTTCTGCGTAGAGCGAAATGCTATTAAAAATACTTAGTTAAATAAGTTTACTACATACTAAATAGTTAAATGTACAAAATATTACTCTCGTATATACACATGTACAAACATGCATTCATGCACATACACTAAGGATCAGCCATTTTCAAAAATCACATATGTTATCACTTGAAGCAGATTCTTTTTACATGCAGGAAACAGCCTTTTGCAATTCAAACGACGAGTCCCAGATTGCTCTGCAGTCTCGTATGCTCTTCGCTGGTTGTCTTCGCTTACAACAAATCCCATGTGCCACGAAGGTCTGGAACGAAAAAAAAAAAGGTGAAAGGGCTAATTGAATTAATTATTCTTTCTTTCAATTACGTGAGTATGAATGTAATTAAATCTGCGATTAAGTGCTGCTGCTCGACGTCAAAGGGATGTTTAGCTAAGTCGCACACGCTTTGGAGTAAACAACTGGAATGATATCCATAACTGAAAAGAGGCAACAAACATTTTTTTTTTTTTTGTATTAGCATTTCTCAACTGTTACACATAAAAATATTAAAGTTGTCAGAAACTCGAAAAACTAGTATTTTTTGATTAAAATGCATATGTACGATTGTTTATCTTATCTAATTGCAATTCAAGTCGATTTTCAGAGAAAGTCAGTAGGCTGCTTCATTAAAATTAAATACATGTATTTTCACGTTTTCTCATTTTCTCTTACCTTTCTATCAAACGCTCGATTGATCTGTACAATTCACCAGCTGTGAAATCGAAAATATGTCTATTTCCTAAAGCATCAATCCATGCCGTAAATGTTTGGTTGTCGTTGACCCTTCGACTACCCACATTTTCAGCATCGCGTTTCATTGTGGACCAAATGGGCACATTGTAGAAAGAAGCCGCATCGTAGGGCATCACATGGTTCATTTGTAGGCCCCAATCCCAGAAGACTTTGCGCTTTGGAGGTAAGTCGGCGATCGGAATAGATATTGAAGCGATTATCTAAAAAGTTAAACGAATATTAAATTTGCTCCAAAATTTGTAATTTCATACGCAATAAAAGTTACAAAAATGCTTTTTATTATCTTTACAAAAAAAAAAATATATACATATATCTTAGTTAATCACACCTGTAGCACTGTATTATTGGGAAAAAGCAAAAACGCTGTCGTTGACTGAAAAATTTTAAAACAAATGCTTGTGCAAATATAAATGAGGAGGACGAAATGCCAAGGCAGCATATTGTCAACTGTTAGCTAGTTTTGCAAATAGCACACACTCGAGTGTCAAAGAATCGGTCATAATAGTTTGGACGTAACAGGGGACATATTGCGGGTACAACTTTTATTGTAACACTAAGGCCTAACAATTACATTGCGATTCGTAATAATATGCTAATGAAGTGGTAAATAAAGTGGTACGTATGTATGTACATATGTACATATAGATCACATGTAAAACTTCATTTACATATATTTATATCCAATTAAATGCCAATATTGGTGACGGTGGTGACGAACAAATTTGAAGAAGTGTTGATGAAAATTGTCAATAAAATTTTGCGTAGTAGTTACAGATGTTATCCAGTGATGCCAGACTGTGGATAATTTCCCTATTTGGCATAAAAGGGACATTTCAATTAAAAAAGGAATTTTCATTTAACATAATTGTCGATGCATAATTGATCAATATTCAAATAAATTGGTGTCGCGCCAAAACCAGACTGACCAATGTTAAAGAAGAGAGTATTAAGAGGTGACGCGAAAAAATCAAAATAGGGGTGTCGCCTTTGCTTTCCTGTTGGAAAGCGTTACCATACAGACATGCTTTTTTCATACCAAAAGACCTCAAGGCCTTCCAAAAGTGAAGTTTCGTATCAACATCCTGTGAAAGGACTTCGTAAAGAATTTGACCGGCCTGTGGGTTTCCACCTAGAGTTCATCGATGTTTGTTTCTTCTCCTTTCTTTAAAACGAACCAATTTGTTTTCACTTTATGCTCTGCTCTAATCAATCAGCTTATCCGAATTTTATCGGTTATGATAGTGCAGGCTTCAACAGATTATGTTTCGTGGGCGGTTAGCATGTAAAGAAGAAACCTTGGGGTAAAAAACACCAGAATACTTTGCCAAATTGATAGGTCGTTTCGAAAGGATTAAGGTACTTGTTTTATTTTCTCTCGTTTATATTCAACGCAAGACAACACGCAAAACATTCTATTATAAGTTTTGCGAAATGGCTAAAAGAAGTCTTTTTCCTGATCTATACAATTTCTCGAAAAGGACTTATCAACTTTTCCTTATACTGTAGCAATATTTTGTAATGTATTTTAAATTTTATTTCATAATGAAAAGTGCAGATAGACGGTAGTGAATATAAGCCCTCGATATACATGCGGATATATGTAAGTATATGATCTGTGAACATTTCTCTTGTAAACAATTTCTGAGTGCTCAGAATTTTTTTTAATAATCAGAATTATAAAGAATATTTGTTTTTGAGACTCAGAAAAACGTCTTATTTTAGATTCTAATATGACTCCGAACTTGGACACGTATTGGACGCCCTTCTAAGAAGGGAAATACGCTCTGTTCTGACTCTGTTTTGAGCGCATAAAGAGGGTAACTACTCAGAATTCTGAGACTTTTCTGACTTCAAAATGAGTCCGAATGTTTATAGGGCGATTCAAACAATTTTCTGAAAGCTCAGAATTTATGACTCTAAATTGAGTCTTTATTTCGTCAAAAATTCGACAAAAATATGATTCTTAGACCAACCATCCATACTGGCTCATTTCGGACTCTTTTGG